ACCATCCAAGATGGAAACACATTTTAAAAGCTTAAAATACAGTAAAAGCCCTGGGCACGGTGGCTCCGCCTGTAATTCCAGAACTTTGGGAGGCTGAGGTCAGGAGTTTGAGACCAGCATGACCAACATGGTGAAATCCGTCCCTACTAAAAATAGAAAAATGAGTCAGGCATGGTGGCAGGAGCCTGTAATTCCAGCTATTTGGGAGGCTGAGGCAGGAGAATCACTTGAACCTAGGAGGAAGAGGTTGCAGTGAGCCAAGATCATGCCACTGCACTCCAGCCTGGGCAACAGAGCAAGACTCCATCTCAAAAAAAAAAAAGGCCGCGCTGGTGGCTCATGCCTGTAATCCCAACACTTTGGGAGGGTGAGGCAGGCGGATCACCTGAGGTCAGGAGATGGAGATATCCTGGCTAACATGGTAAAACCCAGTCTCTACTAAAAATACTAAAACTTAGCCAGGCGTGGTGGCACACACCTGTAGTCCCAGCTACTCAGGAGGCTGAGGCAGGAGAATCACTTGAACCAGGGATGCGGACGTTGCAATGAGCCGAGATCATGCCACTGCATTGCAGCCTGGGTAATAGAGCAAGACTCTATCTCAAGAAAAAAAATTAATCCCAGCACTTTGGGAGGCCGAGGCGGGTGGATCACGAGGTCAAGAGATCGAGACCATCCTGGTCAACACGGTGAAACCCCATCTCTACTAAAGCTACAAAAAATTAGCTGGGCATGGTGGCGCATGCCTATAATCCCAGCTGCTCAGGAGGCTGAGGCAGGAGAATTGCCTGAACCCAGGAGGCGGAGGTTGCGGTGAACCGAGATTGCGCCATTGCACTCCAGCCTGGATAACAAGAGCGAAACTCCGTCTCAAAAAGAAAAAAAAGAAAAAAATAAATAAAATACAGTAAAAGTAAATGTCAAGGTGCAGGACACAACAGCACACAATGAACTAATTCTGTGAACTATAGCCCAGATTTTATTAATGAGATTACATGAAATAGAAAAGATCAGAAAAGTATTAAAATACTGTTTTGTTTTGTGTTTTCAGACAGTCTTGCTCTGTTGCCCGGGCTGGAGTGCAGTGGTGCGATCCGGGCTCACTGCAATCTCTGCCTCCCAGGTTCAAGCAATTCTCCTGCCTCAGCCTCCCAAGTAGCTGGGATTACAGGCATCCACCAGTATTCCCCACTAATTTCTGTATTTTTAGTAGAGATGAGGTTTCACCATGTTGGCCAGGCTGATTTTGAACTCCTGATCTCAGGTGATCCACCCATCTCGACACCCAAAGTGCTGGGATTACAAGCATGGGCCACCGAGCTCAGCCAGTTTTTTGTTTTCTTTGAGAGGTAGTTTCACTCTTGTTGCCCAGGCTGGAGTACACTGGCTCAATCTCAGCTTACTGCAACCTCTGCCTCCCAGGTTCAAGTGATTCTTCTACCTCCGTCTCCTGAGTAGCTAGGATTTCAGGTCCACACCACCATGCCTGACTAATTTATTGTATTTTTTAGTAGAGACGGGTTTCACCATGTTGACGAGGCTGGTCTCGAACTTCTGACCTCAGGTGATCCACCCACCTTGGCCTCCCAAAGTGCTGGGATTACAAGCGTGAGCCACCGCGCCCAGTCCTAAAATATTTTGTAAAATTTTTGTGTTTACGTGTGTGTCTCCCAGGTCTTAACAGATTTTATTTCTTAGAGTGGGTCATAGTCAAAAACCTTGATAGAACAGTTGCAGTGGCTCACACCTGTAATTCCAGAACTTTGGGAAAGAAAGATGAGAGGACTGCTTGAGGTCAGGAGTTCAAGACCAGCCTGTGCAACATAGTGAGACTCTGTCGCTATTAAAAGAAAAATTTTGCCAGGCACAGTGGCACACACCTAGAGTCCTAGCTACTTGGAAGGATGGCTTTGCTCAACAATCGGAGGTTACCGTGAGCTATGATCACGCAACTGTACTCCAGCCTATGCAACAGAGGAAGACCATGCCTATTTAAAAACAACAGGGGCCAGGTGCGGTGGCTCACACTTGTAATCCCAGCACCTTGGGAGGCCCAGGTGGGCGGATCACAAGGTCAAGAGATCAAGACCATCCTAGCCAACACGGTGAAACCCTGTCTCTACTAAAAATACAAAAATTAGCTGGGTATGGCAGCACGCGCCTGTAGTCCCAGCTACTTGGGAGGCTGAGGCAGGAGAATTGCTTGAACCTGGGAGGCAGAGGTTGCAGTGAGCCGTGATCGTGCCACTATACTCCAGCCTGGCACCTGGTGACAGAGCGATACTCTGTCTCAAAAAAGCAACAACAACAACGAAATCCTGATGCATACTAGTTTAACAGAATATCAGAGTCTTGTCAAAAATAATTCTCAGGTGGGCACAGTGGCAAGACGTCTGTACCCTTAGCCATTAACAAAACTAAGATGAGAGGGATCGATTGAGCCCATGAGCTCAAGGCCAGCCTGAGCAACATAGCAAGACCCTATCTTAAATAAAATACTAGGTATATAGTTATCTGATTTTGAATAATGTGACAAAAATAATAGAAGGTATATTTTAGCTAAGTATTCCAAAGCAAATGTGAATTAGTAAAACTTGAAATGGTATGAAAGACTAAAACTAAGGATTTTATTGTGCCACCAACTGGTTTTCATTGAATCACTAGAAATGGGTATATTTTACATGCAGCTACAGCAAACGTTATCAATATTTTTTGGAAGGATATGCACAGGCAAACCTCCCACCCTCCCCTACCCACAGCAGCAAACACTGCCCTTAAAAACCCCAATGATCCAAACGCACAAGCTTCATCCTTGATCCCAAGAACTATAGCCTGTTTTGATCTCCAGGACACTGGATGAGGGCAATCTCTGGAGACTGAGTCCAGGACTACAGCCCAAGACCCTAAAGTAACAATAATAATAAAAACAGTGGAGCACAGTGGTTCACACCTGTAATCCCAGCACTTTGGGAGGCCGAGGTAGGGAGCTGGAGACCAGCTTGACCAACATGGAGAAACCTTGTCTCTACTAAAAACACAGTATTAGCTGGGTGTGGTGGCACATACCTGTAATCCTAGCTACTCTGGAGGCTGAGGTAGGGGAATCCCTTGAACCCAGGAGGTGGAGGTTGCCATGAGCTGATACCGTGCCACTGCACTCCAGCCTGGGCGACAAGGGCAAAACTCCGTCTCAAAAAAAAAAAAAAAAAAAGCTCCAACAGATGCACTTATACTGCAAAGAACACCGGAAGTACTTTACACTGAAATATACATTGCTGTATTTTCTTTTCTAGAGTCTGGCTATGTTGCCAGGCTGGAGTGTAGTGGCACGATCTCAGCTCACTGCAACATCTGCCTCCTGGGTTCAAGCGATTCTCCTGCCTCAGCCTCCTGAGTAGCTAGCACTACAGGTGTGCGCCACCATGTCCAGCTAAAAATACAAAAATTAGCTGGACGTGGTGGCACACTAAACCCCATCCTGGTCAACATGGGGTTTTACCATGTTGACCAGGATGGTCTTGATCTCTTGACCTCATGATTCACCTGCCTCAGTCTCCCAAAGTGCACAAGCCTGAGCCACCGTGCCCAGCCACATTGCTGTATTTTCATGTTACCGTATAAGCATCAGAGAGCCTCTACAAAGAGAATGATTCCTCTGCTCTCAGTACATACTGCTCCAACACAGTAAATGCAATCTTGTATGAAACAATACGTGTAGCTGGGGCGGTGGCCCACGCCTTGTAATCCCAGCACAGCACTATGGGAGGCAGAGGACGACGGATCACCTGAGGTCAGGAGTTCAAGGCCAGCCTGTCCAACAAGGTGAAACCCCGTCTTTACAAAAATACAAAAATTAGCTGGGCATGATGGCGGGTGTCTTTAATCCCAGCTACTCGGGAGGCTGAGGCGGGACAATAGCTTGAACCCGGGAGGCAGAGGTTGCAGTGATCCGAGATCGTGCCATTGCAGTCCAGCCTGGGCGACAAAGACACTCCGTCTCAAAAAAAAAAAAAAGAAAAAAAGAAATTGTGTCATGATTTGGCACAAAAATACTCCCAACACTTATTTCACGTTTTAATCGCAATCTCTATGAATCTACATAATTTAACAGTTGAAATAACATTACAAGAACTAACGCAACTTTTCAATAAAATCTATTCTCTTTCAGGAGACAATGGGATAACTGGAAATGACTGTGCCAATTGCATACCCACTTACAGGCACTGTGCCTCCGAAATGCTGTGACCAACAGTTGAATAAAAGTGGCAGGTCCATAATTGGTAGGTGCAAAGTGTGCTCTCTTCAAAAAACTGAAAAAAATTACCTTTCAAATTCATTAGGTTCGAATCCTAAATGCATAGCTGAGTAACCAGAATACTCAATACCCGTGAAAACTTAACAAAGCAGGGGAGGAACGGCCAGGGCTGCCAGCTCCAGGTGGCTGTCAGGTGCATCTCCAATGACCACATAGGAGGACCAAAGGAAAACTTCCGGGAGGCCCTTGTCAATCACGCGCGGGGCATAAGGAAGGCGGACAGAAAAAAACAACATTTCAAACCCCTGGAACCGCCGTCGCTCTGGGGCTGCCGCAGCGGGCGAGAGGCAACGACCGAAGCCCGGGCCTCGCGGGCATCACTCGCCGAGTCCTGCGGAAGGCGAAGCGCCGTGCGCGGAGCTGCACCGGGGAGACGTCCCCGCCTGTTCAGGGGCTGGACCAGCCGCCGGCCGCGAGCCGTGGCCCCGGTGTCGCCCTCCCGCCGCCTCTGCTCACGTTCTCCTCTCTCAGGAGGCTGACAGAGGCCGCGTCACCCCGAGAGCCGCCCACCTGCCGCCCTGGCCCGGGACCCCGGCAGGCACGGCGCGGCAGGACCCGTTATCCGCCCGGCCGCAGCATCCCAGGCCCGGGGCGCTCGGGCCGACAGCGGGAGGCCGCGCTCCGCAAGGCGCGAGGAACCGCGACCGCGTACCGCCACCGACCCCCTCCCGCCGCCGCCGCTCACCTCGAAGTAGCCTCCGGGGGCGGCGCCGCCCGCGCTCGCGCCAGCGCCCAGGGGCCCGTTGGCCACCGCCGCGCCGCCCACCAGGCCCGCCGTGCCGCCCGGGGCCGCCAGGCCCGCGCCCTGGGAGCCGCGCAGCGCCGCCGCCGGGCCGGCCTTGCCGCTGCTCGCGCCGCCGTTACCCCCGCCTGAGCCGCCGCCGCCGCCGCCCCGCTTGTTCTTCCGGCGCTTGGCCCCGCGTTTGGCGTCGGCTGGGCTCATGGCGGGCGGGGAGAGGGGCGCGGAGCGGGCGCGGGGGGCTACGGGCGGCGGCGGAGGGCGGGGAGGCTGAGGCGGCGGCGGCGGCGGGCGCTCCGGCCAGCCGGGGGACGCTGCACGGAGTCGCCTCCGGGGCGGGGAGGGCTGCGGCGGGCGGGAGCTGCGGGGCAGGCCGCTGGGCGGGAGGAACCGCGAGTCCACAGTCCCAGCGCCGCCGCTGACCAGAGTTAGAGTCCAATATGGCGGACACAAGGGGAAAGGGATCCCAGTTTACGTCGGGGGAGGGGGAAGGAGCGGCGGGGAGGGGGAGGGATGTGGACCCCCCCGACCCCGCCTTACTCCGCCCCCCGGGCGACGCTTTCCACTTTGTTTGCCCTTCCCCTCCTGCCGTTAACGTGCCTCGGCGCGCAAGGCGCGCCGGGAGTTGAAGTCCGTGCTGCCGGCGCCGCCGCTGGGGGGCCCAGGGGGGAACCACGATGCCCGTCAGGCCGTGCGCGGCCAAGGGCCCGGACTCTGGGAGGAGTTGGAGCCCAGGAGCTGGATGCGACGGTGATGTCACCGCCGCGCTCGTCGTCGCAGATTCCGCCAGCGCCGCGCGGCCTTCTGGGCGTTGTGGTCGGGGGCAGGGCCGAGCCGGCGGGAGGACGCGCTGCCACCCGCAAGGCGAACTACAGGGCTGGCGGCGGGGACTTCCGCCTCTCTAATCGGCGCCCGGCGGCCCGCCGCCCAGGTGCGGCACACCGGCGCGGCTCCCGGGATGCACCAGGGGCGACGCGGCGCCGCCGCCGCCGCCGCCTCCGCCCCCGCCCTCGCCCTGTCCTGGCCCCGCCGGGAACGCCCGGTGACCTTGGGCTGGTCTAGTCCGGGTCCAGATAACTCCGTGAGGACCGCAGAATCCCTGCCTTGTGGACTGGGCGGGGGTTCGAGCGGCGCTGGAAAGCGGGGCGCAGCGGTGTCCGCCTGGGTGCGGAGGCAGCGGCGCAGCGGGCGGAGCGTGGACAGGGCCCGCGGCTGGGACACGCCAGTCGGTTCCCAGAGAACCCCTCGGCTGAAGGCTGCCTTTCCCGAGCCCGCCCTCTCCCTGCTACCCCGTTAAGCCCTCTCCGGAAGTCCCGGTGCCTTGCTACCCCGCAGGGCCCCAGGACGGGCCGGCCGCTTCCCACACCCTCGCACTCACTCACCTCGGAGACAACGAGCCGGGCCAGATTCTCGCGGGGCTCCGGCGCTCCCCGCCCCGAGGGACGCAGACGTCCAGGTCAGAAATAGGGCGTGTGTCGGGACCCTCCTCCCTCCGCGTCCTTGTAGACATCTGCGAGCCCCAGGCGCAGCTCTGCCCTGAGACCCGCGCCACCGGGGACCCTGCCGGCGGCCCCGCCCCCTGAAGGGCCCTGCTTACCACAGACGCAGAGGCACAAAGGACACGATTTCCCCTTTTTGGTTCAACGGATGGTGTCAGGCCGAGGGGCGGGGGGCTTGGCAATGGGACATACGGCCTGCCAGGCTCCACTTGCAGCCTTTACCGAGCCCAGCTGTTCACCCTGGGTCCCCGCAACCCCCCCCATCTGCACCCACAGCCTCCTGATCCTCCGACCAATTCTTCACGACACAAGCAGAAATCTAACGTGATCGAACGAAAACTACTCTTAAAGCTATTCAGAGACCACCTTATCCGCCGAATAAAGCCCTCCCCCCGCCCCATCGGAAGCTCTTGGATGATCCTGCCACTGAACTTGGAGCTTGAGAGAGCGCCCAGGAATGCCCTTCTGGCCTCTGCTTCCGTGTCATAGGCTGTCCCTGCCCTCATACCTGCCCCTTCTCTCAATCCCTGTCCTTTCCTTTGTCATAGCACATTGCATAGGATTGGGATGCATGGTGTCACCAGTATCCCCAAGAGACAAAAGGAGGTTGGGTTTTATTGCACATACCAAATGGAGGTTGGGAGCCATGAAGGGTTTTGAGCAGAGAGATGTTAAGGTCGGTTGGTGTTTTTTTTTTTTTTTTTTTGAGATGGAGTCTCGATCTGCTACCCAGGCTGGAGTGCAGTGGTGCAATCTCAGCTCACTGCAACCTCCGCCTCCCAGGTTCAAACAATTCTCCTGCCTCAGCCTCCCATAGCTGGGATTACAGGCCAGTGCCACCACAGCTGGCTAATTTTTGTATTTTTAGTAAAGATGGGGTTTCACCATGTTGGTCAGGCTGGTCTCAAACTCCTGACCTCATGATCTGCCCATCTCATCCTCCCAAAGTGCTAGGATTACAGGCAAGAGCCACCATGCCAAGTTGGATGTATATTTTTGAAAGAATTCTGGCTACTATTTGAGGTGTGTGGTTTGTTTTTTTTTTTATTTTTTGTTTTTTTTCCAGAAACATGGTCTTGCTCTGTTGCCTAGGCTGGAGTGCAGTGGCCTGATGACGGCTCATCACAGCCTCCAACTCTTGGACTCCAGCAGTCCTCTTGCCTCATGCTCCTGAGTAGCTGGGACTATAGGCACACACCACCACTGTTGGCTAATTTTTTTTTTTTTAATGTTAGGTGTCTTGCTAGGTTGCCCAGGCTGGCCTCAAACTCCAAGCCTCAAGTGATCCTCCCACCTAGGCCTCCCAAAGTGCTGGGATTACAGGTGTGAGCCAAAGTCTGGCTACTGTGTAGAGAGGACAGATGACAGGAGCTAGAGTGGAGATCAGGAGACCAATGACAGAGCCTTGCTGGGGGCAGAGAGGGTGTGCCTGGAAGACAGAACTGAGGGAGCAAAGGCATAAAACTGCTTCTCAAGGTTGTCATTAGCTCCCCTGCTATCCCTGAATGTGTGTGTGTCCCTACTCCAATCCGTGCTGAAACCTAATCATGAATGGAATGGCATCTAGGAGATGGGGCCTCTGGGAGTGATGAGGTCATGAGAGCAGAGCCCTTGTAAGTAGAGTTAGTGCCCTTAAAGAAGAGGGCCTGGGGAGCTGCCTTGTTTCTTCCCTCATGTGGAGACACAGCTAGAAGGCATCAGCTGTGAATCAGAAAGTGGCCTCATCATCAGACACCAAATCTGCCAGTGCCTAGATCTTAGACTTCCTAGCTTCCAGAACTGTGAGAAAGTAGTTTATGTTGTTTATAAGCTACTCTGTTGATAGTATTTTGCAATAATAGCCCAAATGGACTAACACCTAACACACCCTTTAGGAAAAAATTAACAGGAAATTACGGAGAAAAGTTAAAGACATTTCATAAGGCCAGGCACAGTGAGTGGTTCACACCTCTTAATCCCAGCACTTTGGGAGGACGAGGTGGGCGAATCACTAGAGGTCAGGAGTTCAAGACCAGCCTGACCAACATGGCGAAACCCTTTCTCTACTAAAAATACAAAAATTAGCATGGCGTGGTGGCAGGAGCCTGTAATCCCCAGCTGCTCAGGAGGCTGAGGCAGGAGAATCGCTTGAACCTGGGAAGCGGAGGTTGCAGTGAGTTGAGATCCTGCCATTGCACTCCAGCCTGGGTGACAGAGCCAGACTCTCAAAAAACAAACAGAGACATCCTGGCCAACATGGCAAAACCCCGTCTCTACTAAAAATACAAAAATTAGCTGGGCGGGGTGGTACACAACTGTGATCCCAGCTATGTGGGAGGCTGAGGCACAAGAATCACTTGAAGCCGGAAGGTAGAGGTTGCCATGAACCAA